CTTTGTTGAACTGTAGAGTTAAATTTTCAACATCATGAGTGGACAGAGCAGAGATCAACATCCCATAATGCAGTTCACCACCACAAATAAACACAAAACACAGAAACTGTTGATTAACAAGATATTTTTACAGTGTAGGTAAATAACCTCACATGTGATTTAATTTAAATGACTATAATTAATGTAGAGATTCATCATGAAGGTTCTCAAACGTTGAAGGATTGAAGTCTCTATCATCACCTGCACCTGTATAATATGAATGAATCATTTGATTACATCAAATAACGATGATTATGATCTAATTTATAGTCATCATCCCTAATGAAACTGTCATTAATCATAGCCCTGCCATGCACACACACTCACTAACCACCACTCTGCACAGACATTTAATGCTGCACATGCATTTTCAGTAGTGTCATTTAATCTGAGCATGAGCTTTAAACCGCAGCACACATGAAAACTCAACAACAGCTGAAAAACTGCAGTTTTAAATACATCAGTTCATTATCAAACATGCAGAAAACATAATCCTGGACTCAATGTTTGGTGAAATGAGGCTTGCTGGGAACCCGACTCCTTTAACTCTTTTACAGTGATTAAAGCCTGATGACGTCTACACTGAGGCCCCGTTTACACTAGTGCTTTTAGTTTTAAAACGGCGTTTTAGATCAAAAACGATCCGCAGCGTTTCACCCAGCGTTTCAGAACATATCTCCGTCCACACTACGCCACCAAAAGCGTGTATCACGTGACCATTGGCGCACTCTGGGCATGCGTGTTCTAGTATAAACAGGAAGCATGTGTCTCGCTCGGCATTTGGTTATTGTTAGTCAACAAACGCCGGTTGAACAATGAACGCGATGGCAAAGACAGCAAGAGAGGTGTTTTTGTGGACAGACGACGAGGTCGAGTTACTAAACGTAACAAATGAATAACTGCACAATGCCGCCTAAAACAGACAACAGTGCAAACAGCGCTCCCATTTCTGTGTGCATGTTGTTGTTTACAGTGAAGGCTGGTCTGCTGTCTCCCGGTAGCGTTAACGCCATGTGTTATAGTCATGTGATAGGGGCTTGACCAATAAGGGAAGGATACGCAATGACACAAAAGCCCCAATCAGCTAGCGAATCTCAGCAGCCCCGCCTCCGTTTCCAGATGTCTCTGTTTTCCCTCATCCACACTGAGACGGAGCAGCAGCGCTTCAGAATGAAAACAGCCTCTCCAGCGTTTACAAAACGCTCCGATTTCAGCGCTCAAACTCCGGCGTAGTGTGGACGGATGGCGTAACCGTAGCCAAACTTATGCATTTTAAAACTAAAACAATTAGTGTAAACGAGGCCAGAGAATACAGCAGTACATACTTCAGGGCTCCTTCAACTCAAATGCATGATGAGAATAGTCTGTAAGTTATCTCCTGCATGTGTTTTTAACAAGAGCTTCAAATTATGCATTGCATTTGGATTTTAATTTCACAAAGACACACTCTTTTGCAGTAACACATGAATGATGAAAGACTGAAGCTGAGATGTGGAAACTAAAGTAGAGTAAAGCGTCAGTAAATGTGCAGATGTTCAGGGCTCCTCTTTAATAACAGCCTGATGAAGTAGAGTCGAGTCTGAGATGTGAAGACAGTGGAGTAAAAGCTGACGCTGAATACAGCGCTACATCTCCAGTCTTCAGGGCTCCTTGAACTCAGCGTTGAACATGATCTGCTGGATCTGCATCTTGACGGCGGCTCTTTTCTGCGGCGTCAGTCTCTTGAGCGCAGGGACGTAACTGAGCAGAAACAGCTGGTCCTCATCCAGGCTGATCACTGATGGGGACGCTGGAGTCTTCATCAGCCTCTGCTCCTCCACATCTTCAGCTTCTCCTCCTTCTCTTTTCCTCTTCCCAGTGTCCGGAAGCATCAGGCTTTCTCTGTGCGGCCAGTAATGCAGGTTCTGGACCCCTTCCTCCCTCTGCAGCTTACATTCCACCACTGCTGGACAACAATGCACATTTAAACAAGGGCTGTTATGCAGGAATCACCTTTATGAGGGGTTTAAACCCAGGTGTGTGTCAGCAGTGTGTGAATCTCCAGCAGACTCTAATGCTCAACAGTATTTAATTGAGTTTGTTCTAATCAGACTTAATACAGAAGCACTGTGATTGACATTCTCCCTTTGTACGTGTCATCAGAGGGGGAAAGCCCCGCCCACTAGTGCCCATCTCTCCTTCATTAGCATCTCCAGCAGGCCTGAGTGAGAAGCAGCCGTCTGTCCATTAGCCATTAGAGTGTTTGAGCTGCTGAAGATAATGTCAGCATAGACTAAGAGGATTATAGATGTGGAGGAGCGACATAGACTGACAGAAGCATCAAGCACACACTCACACCTGACCAGCACTTACAACACACAGCCATCTGTAGCTCCGCCCTCTTTTGAAAGGAGCACAATCTCATTTGCATTTAAAGCGACAGTCACCAAAACACCACGATTAGGATCAAAGCCTGAAAGGGTCAGTTTCAGAGAGCTGGAGAACATCATCTGTGAGCTGTTCTCAGCTCAAACTCACACACACACACACACACACACACTCTGGAGACAGCAAAAAAAAAATATATATATTAATTTAAATTAAGATTAATTAAATCTGCCATTTATTTAAAGTTGCGCTTGTAACGTCAGTTATGTAACTTTTTTTTATCATCTTGCCGTATGCTTTTTCGTGGCCTCCTGTGAGAGATGTACCCATCTGATGAACACTTCAGAATGTGGACAGAAGCCGTAGGAGATTTCTCGCTTTCTCTTTCACGAGTTTATACGGATACGACGTGGAAAAGTGCACGCAAATCTGAACGCCTTGAAAAAGTCGTAGCGCTACCGGTAGTTGTCAACAACAAACTCTAGCTTCCGCCTTAAAGCTCCGCCTATGCTGGTTGATTGACACCTCATTTGCATTTGATTTATCATTTGCGATGTCAGTTTGAGCATTTGATTCACCATTTGCGGAGTCGTTTGAGGATTTGATTCACCATTTGCAGAGCTGTTTGACCATTTGATTCACCAATTGCGGAGTTGTTTGACCATTTGATTCACCAATTGCGGAGTCGTTTGAGGATTTGATTCACCATTTGCAGAGTTGTTTGAGCATTTGATTCACCATTTGCAGAGTTGTTTGAGCATTTGATTCACCATTTGCGGAGTTGTTTGAGCATTTGATTCACCATTTGCGGAGTCGTTTGAGGATTTGATTCACCATTTGCAGAGTTGTTTGAGCATTTGATTCACCATTTGCAGAGTCGTTTGAGGATTTGATTCACCATTTGCAGAGTTGTTTGACCATTTGATTCACCAATTGCGGAGTCGTTTGAGGATTTGATTCACCATTTGCAGAGTTGTTTGAGCATTTGATTCACCATTTGCAGAGTTGTTTGGGCATTTGGTTCACCACTTGTAGCGATGTTTGAGCATTTGATTCACCATTTGCAGAGTTGTTTGAGCATTTGGTTCACCATTTGCAGAGTTGTTTGAGCATTTGATTCACCATTTGCAGAGTTGTTTGAGCATTTGATTCACCATTTGCAGAGTTGTTTGAGCATTTGATTCACCATTTGCAGAGTTGTTTGAGCATTTGATTCACCATTTGCGATGTCAGTTTGAGGATTTGATTCACCATTTGCAATGTCGGTTTGAGCATTTGATTTATAGTTTGATCTTTTAAGCATTTGAATTTTCATTTTAATTTAGTTAGGAAAAAACTTCCATATGAAACAACGCAGCCAGGATGATGTGAATAAGGTTATAAAGTACACTATTTCCTTTGAAGATCTATCGGACATGTCCTCGAGGGTCTGTTTTCCTTAATAAACTTGCAAAGTCTGAACTGACAGGGAGAGGATGCGAGACTGAACTATTTGTAGGCTACTTAATATTGAGGAAAAGCCCCAATCAGAGAGGTGAATCTCAGCAGCTCCGCCTCCGTTTTCAGATGTCTCTGTTTTCCCTCATCCACACTGAGACGAGCAGCAGCGCTTCAGAATGAAAACAGCCTCTCCAGCGTTTCCAAAGTGCTTCGTTTTCGGCGGTCGAAATCTTCGGCGTAGTGTGGACGGATGACGTAGCCGTAGCAAAACTTATGCATTTAAAAACTAATACGCATTAGTGTAAACGGGCCTCAGTGAAGGGGTTCTTCATCAGCAGGAGACACTGGAGATGTGCAGAGAGCTCAGCTTATGCCAGAACACACAGATCTGCTGATATTTCTGTTTAAGAATGTCAAATCCCAGCACCGTCACCGCTGTAGTTAGGTGATATGAGTGAGTCTTCTTTGGTTTGTATCATCTATTTTTGTTATTGTTTTAAAATAGTAATGTAGTTACGGCAGAAAATGTATGATTTTGCAGAAAATTAAAGCGCTCTTGTTCACCTTAAATTTGCTCCAGATAAATTTGTAAATCGAGAATCGTGAGATTAGTATCGTGAATCGTATCAAATGGTGAGTCTAGTGGATTGTTTTATCCCTCGTCAGCGCTAGTTGTTTGGTGTGTCCTGGCCTTTATGGTCACTCCCTCTACATCAGCATCTCAGATGTGTATTATTCACTAATAACTCAACAGCCCAATGTCAATAACTCTTACATAATTCAATAGAGCGGAGCAATCACTGACTGTTCTGCTGTGATTTCTGACTGTTGTAGCTGTTGAATACCTCTAATCATTCAGCGGAGTGATATTGAGCTGTAATGAGCTCTAAACCTGCCGGAACTACTTTAGCGGTGCCTTTATCTGACAATAACCAAACACCTGAGAGTGACCATCAACCAATCAGAATCCAGCATTCAGCAGACCTGTGGTGTAAAATAAAATCCTGAACAACACTAGAATAAAAACAGCTACAGCTGTTATTCATGTCAAACTAAAAAACAAAAAATTATTGACACATCACATGCACACATCTATCTCTCCCTCTTTCTGTGTGTGTGTGTGTGTGTGTGTGTGTGTGTGTGTGTGTACTGACCGGAGAGCCCGATGGACGCGGCCACATCCCTCCACACTCTCTCCCTCCGCTCGGTGCTCCGGTAATCAGTCCTCAGCCGGTTGTGGAGCAGCGGAATTCGGTAAACGGCTCGCAGAAGCGTCTCCTCCGCCGCCATTGCGCTCCAGCTCGCGTTTCCGGAACTCCAGAGACGCGTCAGAAACAACGCGCGACTCAACGCGCCGCACAGCATTGGCGGAGCAGCGTCAGCGCCGCGTTAAACTGATCCAGAAACAGCCTAATTTCATCATATCAATTAATTAGTGTAACTGACAGACACTGTTAGCGTTTCCTGATCCTGAACTTCAGCCTGCTCATGTTTATAGGAAATATAGTGTTTATTTACTGGCTAAAGTGTATTATAGTATCGCCTATCATACTAATAAAACTCCAGCATATACTGTAGTATTACTATAGTGAACTGTCAAACTAATAAATGCTTTACTTTTTACCCTATAGCGTAAAATACCCTAAACTACAGTATTGGGTCACTTATTAGCCCATTAAAGTGGTGATAAACTTCATTAATTCCTGCTTATGTTTATATCTATCAGATGTTGAAATGATAGATGGTTGGGTCATTTTATGAAGCAGCTTTAGTGTCAAAATTAACTAATCTACAACTAATTCCTAACTACATTTTTGTCAAATTATACACTAACCGGCCACTTTATTAGGTACACTTGTCCAACTGCTCACTAAAGCACCGTCAGCAATGGCAGCAGCTCAGTGCATGTAGACATGTAGACATGGTGAAGAGGATCTGCTTCAGTTCAGAGTGAGCATCAGAATGGGGAAGAAAGGGGATTTAAGAGACTTTGATCGTGGCATGGTTGTTGCTGCCAGACGGGCTGCTCTGAGTATTTCAGAAACTGCTGATCTACTGGGATTTTCACGCACAACCATCTCTAGGCTTTACAGAGAATGCTCCGACAAAGAGGAAATATCCAGTGAGCGGCAGTTCTGTGGGCGCAAATGCCTTGTTGATGAGGTCAGAGGTCAGAGGAGAATGGCCAGACTGGTTCCAGCTGATAGAAAGGCAACAGTAACTCAAATAAGCACTCGTTACAACCGAGCTCTGCAGAAGAGCATCTCTGAACACACAACACGTCCAACCTTGAGGCGGATGGGCTACATCGGCAGAAGACCACGATCATAAATGGTATCATGCCAATATGGAGCAAAATCTCCAAGGGAATATTTCCAGTATCTTGTAGTCTAACCCAGTATTAATATAATATAATACACAGACTCATAGTGAATACATGCTTGAGAATTTTGCATGCTATACTTTTGTGCAACCGCAAAAACATGAATTTGACTGCAGTTCTTAGGTAAAATGAACACTAGGGGGCAGAGTGATGACAACTTTTGTTTCTTTTTTAACATTAATGATATTTACAGGAACATTGTTGATGAATAGCGGATTATTTATGTGCAGTTCTTTGCACGACACCAAATAAACATTGCAAAATAACTTTACTTTGTCTTTGATTTGCAATAAATACGTTAGCCTTACCTATCTACACACTGGCCACTTTATTAGGTACATCAGGTTTTAACGGCTCGCTAACACAAATTTCTAATCAGCCAATCACATGGCATGAATTTCGGCATGTAGACCAAAGTGTCTCCGTCTTCTGATGGCTACTTCCAGCAGGATAACGCAGCATGTCATAAAGCTCAATCATCTCAGACTGGTTTCTTGAACATGACGATGAGTTCACTGTACTCAAATGGCCTCCACAGTCACCAGAGCTCAATCCAATAGAGCAGCTTTGGGATGTGGTGGAACGGGAGATTGGCATCATGGATGTGCAGTCAACAAATCTGCAGCAACTGTGTGATGCTATCATGACAATATGGAGCAAAATCTCTGAGGAATATTTCCAGTAGCTTGTTGAATCTACAACACCAAGGATTAAGGCAGATCTGAAGGCAAAAGTGGTCCAACCCGGTACTACTGAGGTGTACCTAATAAAGTGGCCGGTTAGTGTATGCATGTATATTGTGTTCACTTGTAGAAAAACTATAACAGCATCAAACACAATCAACACGTTTTCATCTGAAAGTCCACACTTATTGATTGTGTTGTGACACAGTTATAGTAATATGTAGGATTTGTTAAAAATAAATATTTTGAGCAAGATTTATGAAACAGTTCCAACAGGATGAGAGTGTCCATCCTCAGTGTTGTTCTTTATCAATAATTTTGTATAATTGAATATAAAATAATTAAGAATGCACAAAAGCTCTTCGTAGCTTTTCAAATTTGTATCTTTATTAATCTGAGGTCGCCCAAGTGGAATGAACCGCCAACTTACGAAGTGTCACCCCACCGGTCCTACACCACCCAGCCCGCTCCGAGCTGGGATTGAACCGGTGACCTTCTGCATGGGAGTCGGTTGCTCTATCAAGGAGGCTATAAAATATTATACATACTTTATGGTGGGGCGGCACAATGGCGCAGTGGTTAGCACTGTGGCCTCACAGCAAGAAGGTTGCTGGTTCAAGTCCTGGCTCAGTTGGTGTTTCTGTGTAGAGTTTGCATGTTCTCCCCGTGTTGGCGTGGGTTTCCTCCGGGTGCTCCGGTTTCCCCCACAGTCCAAACACCTGCGCTATAGGGGAACTGATCAACTACACTGGCTGTAGTGTATGAGTGTGTGTGTGTGTGATTGAGTGTGTAAGGGTGTTTCCCATTACTGAGTTACAGCTGGAAGGGCATCTGCTGTGTAAAACATATGCTGGTATAGTTGGCGGTTCATTGCGCTGTGGTTAAACCCTAATAAATAAAGGGACTAAGCTGAAGGAAAATGAATGAATGAATGAACATAATATGATAATATTTGTCTATGGGCATTAACTAATAGATCATTTCAAGGTCAACATGTTCAAGAGCTTAATCTTAATCATTATTCTGAGGCGTTTCAGGCGCGTTCTGTGTCTTTAATTTTTATGTTTTAATATTTAGATTCAGAGAACTGTAATAAAATCCACTTCAGGTTATTTATTATCATCTTCCATCTGTCTTGTTTCTGTTTGTTTCACATAAACACGCTTAGAGGACTGTGACGCGACGCTTCGGCTAGTCCCGCCCACAGCGCGATCTGATTGGCGTAAAATCCCGCCATGACGTCCCGCTCATGTCGCGCATTTCTGACGCGAATGTGCGTCATCATTCCGGAGCGTTCTGATCGACGCGTCTCTTCAGCAACTCAATAATGTCAATGGCCGCGTCAGAGAAATTAATCCAGACGGTGTACGCGTTCCCGGTGCTGTACAACGTGTCTCTGCACGATTACCGGAGCACCGAGCGGAGGGTGAAGGCGTGGAGGGAGGTCGCCGCGTCGGTCGGGCTCTCCGGTCAGTGCGTCAACATTACGCGCGCGTCACGCTAGCGAGCGTCTGAGCGCTGAAAGTGCTGCTGCTTCACTGACCTTCATCTCCTCACTCATTAATGAGCACAAACTGAACTAAACTGAGCAGAAATCACAGCCGCTGCGTCGCGTCTGAATCTGACGCGTCAAATGATAGAGAATGTGCAGAAGTTCACAGCGTCGCGTTCCCGAGCTCCACATGTGCGCTTTATAAGCGTCATTTCAACTTTTACAGACGCGTCTCCAAAGCGCTGTCGCGTCTCCTAATTCAAACGCGCGCGCGACGCAGAGTTTCTGTTTGTGTGTGTAATAAACACTGATGAGTGAAGGAGATTTAACACACTGAGGTGGAGACGCGCAAACACACACACACACACACACACACACAGTCTGAGCTACTGATGGACTTTATTACAGGATCAGTTCTGCTGATTATTGATGCGCGGTAACACTCAGAATATGAACTGAATATCATCTAAACATGAAGCTTTTCCTGATGAAGGTTTCCAATGCAGAAATGTGTCATATTCAGGCTTCATCTGTGTCTAATAATAAAGATAATCCGTCAGCTTTAATATCAGACACAATAGTGCAGGTCAACATGACAGCGATAGTCAGAAATGAAGGTTTACACGCGTCATTTACTCCTCAATAGTTTTCAAACCTGTAAGAGAAGATATTTAGAGGAAATCTTCAATCCTGTAACCATCATTTCTACAGTAGGACACACAAATACTGTAGAGGTCAAAGGTTACAGCATTGCTCAATGGTTACAGGCCTCCAACATTCTTCAAAATATCTTCTTCTGTGTTCAGCAGGAGAAATGAACTGTTCAGGGTTTGAGACGGGCGGAGGGAAGGTGAATGATGAGTTTAACTGTCCCTTAATCCATTATGCTGAATTAATGTGCACATCAGGCGTTTTAAACGGCTTCAGCTAGACGAGGAAACTCTTGAACACATGAATAACTCTATTATTAATCTTCATCAGTGAACACTGAGTCTGAGCAGTGCTGCAGAGATGCTGTCGATCATCAGTTGATCAGCTCTGTCAGATGTGTGATGAATGCAGAGGGAATCTGCTGTAGTTTGACTGGAATCATCTGCTCAGGGCTTATTTTGCTGGTTTTGAGGAGAAACTCTCCTAGTTTTGCTGATAATGTTTGTGAATGAGAGTTTTCGCTTGTCTGTAAATGCGTCTGGATGTCTGAAGTGTGGATATTTGGGCTGGAAACAGCTCTTCTGCAGTGTGTAATGAGCGCAAGGCAGGCAGGATTACCATGAGGTGTGTGTGCTGGTCAACTGAACATGTGTGTGTGTGTGTGTGTGCAGTGGTGGAGTGTAAGCGCAGGTGGAAGACCATCAGGGACAGATACATCCGCGAGAGGAGACTCTGCAAGCTGAAGAAGGATCTGGGCGGCCGGCGTCTGCATTACTGGCCCCACAGAGAGAGCCTGGCCTTCCTGGACGCTCACATCCGCAAGAGGAGGCGTCCCAGTGGAGCCCAGGGGCCCGAGGAGGAGCAGCAGGAGGAGCACAGCAGCGCCGCCCTGCAGGAGGACAAGGTCACTGCAACACAAACACTATACACATACACACATCAGATGTTTGCTAATGTAACTAGGCTATGCAAATTAAACACACTGCATTTCTAATAAAGTAGAGTTTTCACAGAAGCGTGAGATATACATGTTATTCACCATACACATGACTTTATATTGCTACAGTAGGCTGACTACACATGTATGGACATACTAACCGGCCACTTTATTAGGTACACCTCAGTAGTACCGGGTCTGATCCCCTTTTACCTTCAGATCTGCCTTAATCCTTGGTGTTGTAGATTCAACAAGCTGCTGGAAATATTCCTCAGAGATTTTGCTCCATATTGTCATGATAGCATCACACAGTTGCTGCAGATTTGTCGGCTGCACATCCATGATGCCAATCTCCCGTTCCACCACATCCCAAAGCTGCTCTACTGGATTGAGCTCTGGTGACTGTGGAGGCCATTCGAGTACAGTGAGATTGAAACCAGTCTGAGATGATTGGCGCCCATTTCTGCATCACAGGAGGCGGGCTTATGCAAAGTTACTTTGATCATGTTCATGCAGATGAACAGTAAAAAGAATCAGAAATATGATTCATTTGAGTGATTCAGAGTCGACTCTTTGTGTTTTCTGTGCGCAGGAGTGTGTATCAGAGGAGTGTGTTGATTCGGGCTCCAGGTTAGCGGTGTCTCCTCTGCCGGTCTCCATCATGTCTGCTCCTCCTCCTCCTCAACTGAAAGCTGTACCACAGGTGAGTCCTCTGCTGCTGGCCGCTCTGCCTCCAGGATTAAAAGTGGCGCCGGTCTGCAGTTCTGCCACAGGTTCAGCTTCAGCCGGCCCTCTGAACGTTCCCCTGGAGGAGCAGCAGAGGGCCGACGGGGCCCTGGATGAGGACCAGCTGTTTCTGCTCAGTTACGTCCCTGCGCTCAAGAGACTGACGCCGCAGAAAAGAGCCGCCGTCAAGATGCAGATCCAGCAGATCATGTTCAACGCTGAGTTCAAGGAGCCCTGAAGACTGGAGATGTAGCGCTGTATTCAGCGTCAGCTTTTACTCCACTGTCTTCACATCTCAGACTCAACTCTACTTCATCAGGCTGTTATTAAAGAGGAGCCCTGAACATCTGCACATTTACTGACGCTTTACTCTGTTTTTACTCTACTTTAGTGTCCACATCTCAGCATTATTAGAGTTGAAGGAGCCCCGAGGACTGGAGATTTAGCTCTGTATTCTGCTTTTACTCTGTTCACATGTCAGCTTCAGTGTGTTTCCTTTCATTATGATCCTTTATTACTGCTGAAGAGCGCGTCCTGTTCAACTTTACACTGTGAGAATAAATGCCTAATGTAAACCACCTCTTAAACTAACACACACACACACACACACACACACACACACACACACACACACACACACACACACACACACACACACAGAATTCTGCATATTCCTCGTTGTATTCTGCTGTTCTGCTGTCCACATCTCAGCTTCAGTCTTTCATTTCTCTTTATTACTGTAAAAGAGCCTCTTTTGTAAGCTGAAAGTGCAAATGCAGTGCATCATTTAACTCTGTTAAAACACACGCAGCTCCTTTTCTACAGGCTTTTCCTACATGCATTGTTAAAGATCTCCCTGTGAATAGTTACTGAATGCATTTTTGAAAGCTGAATGTTCTCTAATGCTGCACTGGAATAAATAGTTTGATAGTGACTGAATGATGGTTTTCTTTGCTGATGTTTTATTTTATGAGCTGTGAACATTCGGTTGTGAATACACACATCAATAAACACACAACTGACGGAAGAGTGGGAGGTCTGCATAAATCTAAAGGCAAATAATGTAAAGATAATAATGATCTTTTCAAAAGTTCACCTAAAAGATCCAAATCAGCATCTGAAAAGTGCATATCAGCATGTAAAATGGACATATTAGCTCCTAAAAGTACAGAAGTGTTTTTGAACACCTGAACAAATGTCATGAGGTGTTACTTTTTCTATTTAATTTTAAATTATTTAATATCAAAAAATGCTTACAATTTTTTTTCGCAATGCAATATAATAATCTTGTAAGAAAATATCAGCAGCTGATCACAAGGGTGTAAAAAGGTAAATAGAGTCAAAAAAGTAAATGGTGCTTGCGAAAAAGTCAATATTGAATTTGCGAAGAAAAGCCAATGGCGAAAAAAAAGCTGATAGTTTGCGAAAAAGCCAATAGCGAGTTTCTGAAAAAAAAAGCTGATGGTTTGCGAAAAAGCCAATAGCGAGTTTGTAAAAAACTCAATAATGAATTTGTGAAGGAAAGCCAATAGCTAGTTTCTGAAAAAAAGCTGATAGTTTGCGAAAAAGCCAATAGCTAGTTTGTGAAAAAAGTAAATAGTGAATTTGCGAAGAAAAGCTAATAGTAAGTGTGAAAAAAGTCAATAGTGAGTTTTGCGAAAAAGCCAATATTGAGTTTGTAAAAAAAAGTCAATAGTGAATTTGCAAAGAAAAGCTGATAGCGAGTTTCTGAAAAAAAGCTGATAGTTTGCGAAAAAGCTAATAGCTAGTTTGTGAAAAAAAGTCAACAGTGAGTTTGCGAAGGAAAGCCAATAGCGAGTTTGCGGAAAAAAAAGCTGATAATTTGCGAAAAAGCCAATAGCGAGTTTGCGAAGGAAAGTCAATAGAGATTTGTAAAAAAAAAAAAGCTTGTGGTAAAAAGTCCATATTTTAAAAAGTAAATAGCATGTTTGCGGAAAAAAAAGTCAATATATTGCAGGAAATGTCAATAAATAGTTTTCGAAGAAAAGTAAACAGTGAGCTTGTGAAAAAAGCTGATACTTTGTGGAAAAAAAGTCAATAGAGAGTTTACAGAAAAAGTCAATAGAGTTTGCAAAAAAGGTAAAAAGTGAGTTTTGCTAAAAAGTCAATATCGAGTATGCGGGGAAAAAAAAGTCAATATCGAGTATGCGGGGAAAAAAAAGTCAATATCGAGTATGCGGGGGAAAAAAAGTCAATATCGAGTATGCGGGGGAAAAAAGTCAATATCGAGTATGCGGGGGAAAAAAAGTCAATATCGAGTATGCGGGGGAAAAAAGTCAATATCGAGTATGCGGGGGAAAAAAGTCAATATCGAGTATGCGGGGGAAAAAAAGTCAATATCGAGTATGCGGGGGAAAAAAGTCAATATCGAGTATGCGGGGGAAAAAAGTCAATATCGAGTATGCGGGGGAAAAAAGTCAATATCGAGTATGCGGGGGAAAAAAAGTCAATATCGAGTATGCGGGGGAAAAAAAGTCAATATCGAGTATGCGGGGGAAAAAAGTCAATATCGAGTATGCGGGGGAAAAAAAGTCAATATCGAGTATGCGGGGGAAAAAAAGTCAATATCGAGTATGCGGGGGAAAAAAAGTCAAAATCGAGTATGCGGGGGAAAAAAGTCAATATCGAGTATGCGGGGAAAAAAAAGTCAAAATCGAGTATGCGGGGGAAAAAAGTCAATAGAGTATTCGGGGGAAACAAGCCAATAGTTTGCGAAAAAAGTCAATAGCGAGTTTGTGGAATTATTTACTAATAATTCAATGACCTGTGATCAGTTATTCCTCAATTTATGTTTGAATGTTTTTGAGGACAATAACTATCAAGTATTTCGACTATTTTATATTAAAAATATCTGTATTACCATAAATGCTGTACTTCATCTCACGTTAGAGGCGAGCTGATAATTAAACAAACAAATAAAATAGTTTAATGCTGATGTAAAGCACTCAGAGCCATCATCAAGAAAACGTCTGTAAGAGTCTCATTTTACTAAAGTGAGTGACATTATTTGTCACCGTAATTGAAGAAAAAATAACAGAAACAATAGAGATTTACTGAATCATAAGAGAAATAAGACTTTATTTAAAATCAGAAAACAGATTATGAGTGTTTACATTCACAGACATGCAACCAGAAGCATTGCATCTCTTTCACAGAAAAAGAGCCCGGCGGGCGGTCGATTAACACGTATCTTAATTAACCGTCAGCTCATCAACAGAAGAGAGGAAGCCTGCACTACTGAAAGCTGACAGTTCAGTTAGTTAGTTAATTAGTCCTCTGAGAGTAATGAGTTTACTGTGTCCTGATGGTATGCTTTACCAGTTTATGCAATGAGCAGCCAGAACATGATGAGCAGAGCCACAAACAGGAAGAGGCGGGACAGGAACTGCTCATCTGTGTGCTGGGGTGTTCCTGGAGCAGCTGAAAACACACAAAATACATCAAAACGTCACTTAGTTTAATGCAAAACTCGCTAAACTCCATTAAGCCTCATAACTGTTACTAGTATTGGGTATCCAGAACCGGTTCCATTTTAGAACCAGTTTCCAATTTCAAAGAACTGGGTATTTTATAAGACGCATGCATTTCAATTCCGTTCAATCAACTATGAGCCATTCTCGCATGGCGAATGGTAGTGGGCATCAAAATAAATAAAAAATGTAAATATTGCATTATACAAACGTGCATTTTTTTTTTCAGAATTGCATGATTCAAACTCAAATACAAATTCTCTATTAAGTTTTTCCTCAGAACTGTCCAATAAAACTTTGAAAAAGCCAATAGCAAGTTTGCAAAAACAGTCTATTAGCAGGTTTGCGGAAAAAAAAGTTAATAGCAAGTTAACGAAAAAAAAGTCAATAGAAAGTTAGCAAAAAAGTAAATAGCAAGTTTACAAAAAAAGTCAACAGAGTTTGCTGAAAAAAAGTCAATATTAAGTTTGCAATAAAGTAAACAGCACGTTTGCGAAAAAAGTCATTAGAGTTAGTGAAAAAAGGTTAATATTGACTTTATGAAAAAAGTCAATAGTGAGTTTACAAAAAAGTCAATATCAAGTTTACCAAAAAAGTCAATAGCGAGTTTACAAAAAGTCAATATCGAGTTTACGAAAAAAGTCAATAGCGAGTTTACCAAAAAAGTCAATAGCGAGTTTACGAAAAAAGTCAATATCAAGTTTACCAAAAAAGTCAATAGCGAGTTTACAAAAAGTCAATGTCGAGTTTACGAAAAAAGTCAATATCGAGTTTGTAAATGAAACCAACAGTCAGTTTGCGAAAAAGTCAATAGCGAGTTTTAGAGAGAAAAAAAAAATAGAGAGAAAAAAAAAGATGTCGATATTGATTTTGCCAATAAAGCCAACAGTGTGTTTGTAAAAAAAAAAAAAAAAAGTCAAGAGCAAGTTTGTGAAAAAAAAAGAAAGACAATTTTGAGTTTGTGGGAAAAAAGGTCAATAGAGCCTGCGAATAAAGTCAATAGCGAGTTTGTGAAAAAAAGTCAATATTGAATTTGCGAATGAAGTCAATAGCGAATTTGTGAAAAAAGTCAATAGAGCTTGCGAAGTCAACAGCGAGTTTGTAAAAAAAAGTCAAAATCAGGTTTCTGAAAAAAGTAAAAAGCTAGTTTTGCGAAAAAGGCAATACCAAAATTGTAAATGACGTCAACAGCTTGTTTGCGTAAAGTCAATGGCAAGTTTGAGAAAAAAGACAATAATGAGTTTGCAAAAAAAAGTCAATATTGAGTTTGTGAATAATGTCAATAGCGAGTTAGTGAAAAAAAGTCAAAAAAGTTTGCGAATGAATTTAACAGTGAATTTGTGAAAAAAAGTAAATATCGAGTTTGTGAAAAAAAAGTCAATGGTGAGTTTGTGAAAAAAGTCAATATTAAGTTTGTAAATGAATTCAACAGTGAGTTTGCGAATAAAGTCAACAGTGAGTTTGCGGAAAAAAAGTCAAAATTGAGTTAGTGAAAACAGTCAACGGCGAGTTTGTAAAAAAAAAAAAAAAAAGTGAATATTAAGTTTGCGAATGAATTTAACAGCGAGTTCGCAAAAAAAAGTCAACAGAGTGAGTAAAGTCAATAGAGTGTGTAAAAAAATCAATAGCGAGTTTGCGAAAAAGGCAATAGAGTTTGTAAATGAAGTCAACAGCACGTTAGCAAAAAAAGTCAATGAGTTTGCGAAAGAAGAAAATATGAAGTTTGTAACAAAAAGTGTAAAACAAAAACAACAGAGCGATATAAAAATTCTGTTTTTGATTTAACATGATACAGTCAAAAAACATGTAAACATGCACAGACGAGCTTTTCAGAAACATGTACAATGTTTATTAAGAGAACGTGAATAGCGGATTTCATCTCATGCAAACCTAAAGGGCTTCTCATTACTATACTTTAATCCAAATATGATATTGTTTACTATCATTGTACAAGCCTAACAGTTATTAAGAAATAAAAACCTTATTAGAGTTGTGTGTATTTTTAAAGCAAAAGACAAGATTTAAAGCAAATATTGACATACGTTTAGAGAAAAGTCATCATTAAATTCATTTTAGGCCATAGATATTATTAAATGTGCCTGTTTGTTTGTGTTTAATGTCATGTTCATCAGTTCAGTTTATCAGGCAGGCGACGGTTGTGCTTTACCTGGCGGGGGTCTGCCATCATTGATATTAAACGCTGTGGCGAAGATCCCGAAAGGAAAAGCTCCAATACCAAACGACATCTGAAATCCACCATCGCCAAAACCAAAGCCCTGAAAACCCTGCAGACACAAGCCAACTTCAGCAGGAGAGCAAGACTCACAGTACACATGACCATGGGGGAAGCTAAAGAATATTACCTCAGAGTGAAAACACGATTATTTCTCTTGCCTTTATTCAGCTTATTATTCAGCGTGTTTTAAGGAGAAACTCGCCTCATTTTGACTCATTGCTTCTGAAAACAGCACTGTATTTTTTGCTTGTCCAGATGATGCTTCTAGATTTAAGTATTTTACATATTTGTACTGGAAACAAGACTGAAACTCGAAATAAAGCCTGTTGTGCAGTGTAATTACATGTAGCTGATTTGTGGAAGCCGCAGCTCTAAAAGCTTTATTTTCCACCGTAGACGATCATCACGCAAGAATGTAAAGCATGATGATAATGTGATGCAACCCAGACGTCAGCTGCTGTCCACTGAGACTCCGAGACATTAATTAGCCCCCGTGAGACACTCGTTTGCTTAATGAATTACCTACAGGTTGGCACTACAGCAACCAGAGTCATGCATGTAAGTGTTTCATCACAAACGTCTAGTGCAATGACACACACACCGTTGCACACGCAACAGTGTCATGAGCAAACAAGTAACTGCAACTCTAGACTGCAACAAATGATGTTCTTAGAGTTTTTGTCTTGTCTAGCCTAAATATATCTGAATATTAAATCAAGAAGCATTTTTATAGGGTATCTGCAGGTTTTTAAGCTGCAGTCACACTGCACTACACATAGACTTCCATTCATACGCATGTGAACGCTGCAGACCGGGAACGCAAGTTTGTGCAACAAGTTTCGCAGTTTGCTGTGTTGCAAAGTTCAAGCTTGGTAAACTCTGACCTGTGAAATCGCATCACATGACTGCGTGAGAGCAATCGAAGATGAAAACATGACCTCTCTGAACAGAAGTTTAAAATATGGACCAATCGCTCGCTCATTAAATGTTGATCATCTTGTTTAATCCCGGCCCTTTTTGCAGCGCTGTTCAACAGAATTTTGCATGCTCAAACTCTAGTGTGACCGCAGCGCAAAGACTGGTACACATCGCTTTTTCATATGCGTTTAACATCAGTGTTTTACGAGACGTTTTTTCTGGATTCAAACACAATCGATTTCCATTTCATCGAGCAGAAGAGTATGCAAAACCACTCCTTGAAATTAGATGGTGCTATACAACTTTAAGCTTCTGACATCTGCTTGTAGCACAAAAGACAGTTGACACGCTTGATGTTATTGAGGGTTCAAGTAGCAGCTCTAGCGATGAAGAAATGATTATTGTGACCAGAGCAATAAGCAGCTACATGTACATATCGCCTCTAGGCATCTTTGACAGATTTGCGCTTGAGCGCCTTCATGTGCTGTTTACTGTAACTTCAGCAGCTCCGTACACGTGAACAAAAGTGCCAATCTGATTGGTCGAGAAGGTTTTGATGCAAGCATGAGGCGTTTCCTTAAAAATGACGCTTTTACGCCGTTTATTTAGTCACAAGGCGTTAAACGTAGACAAAAACCAGAGAAAGATGCGTCCCAGTGTGCACGGACCCTCAGATTTATATTTAAGACTGTAAGAACAATTGTACAGCACATAACTTGCCAGAAAAAAAGCATACATATAATTATATATTTATTGTGTTATATATATTATGTGTATGTATGTTTATATATATATATATATATATATATATATATATATATATATATATATGTATATGTGTGTGTGTGTGTGTGTGTGAAAAACTCAAAACATTATTATTATTAATAACAAAATAATAATAATAATGAAAGTTACATCAGTTCCCCCAAACTGCATTAACAACACTAACAACACAATTTGACAATGTCAGTAACTTATTGTTATATTTAATTTAATAATAGGCATATTTAAAAATATATTTAGGCAGCACTGTGGTTAGCACTGTGGCCTCACAGCAAGAAGGTCGCTGGGTCAGTGTGTGTTTCTGTGTGGAGTTTGCATGTTCTCCCCGTGTTGGCGTGGATTTCTTATAGGTGCTCTGGTTTCCCCCACATCAACTAAATTGGTCAAAGTGTAGGAGTGTGTGTTTGTGAATGAGTGTGTATGGGTGTTTCCCAGTGCTGGGTTGCAGCTGGAAGGGCATCCGCTGCGTTAACATATGCTGAAATAGTTGGCGGTCCATTCCGCTGTGGCGACCTCTGAATCAGAGACTAAGCCAAAGGAAAACGAATGAATGAATGAAGATATATTTGGCGAGTGGGGAATTCCCCACAAATTCTGAACATGCAAGCGAAATCCCAGCAAACTATAGTTCCATAAACAAAATTTCCACAAGCATGTATATTATTAAGTTCCACCAATATAAATGGACTTTGGTTCTGCCCATGTTGTTCTGCACGATGATAGACGAAGACGTTTGAGCAGATTTTAAAATCTTCAGTACGAGTTCGGTTCGATTGCATTTAGGAGTCTAATACAAGTCTAATTAAGTACTTATTTTTATACTGTGGGATTTAACACTTTAAAGATCTGCGGACACCTAGGCATGGGCCGGTATCAGATTCTGATGGTATGATAACCTCTGATTAAAATATCACGGTGTTGTGGTTACTGCTCTAAAACATTTTCTTTTAATTGTCTGGGTAAAAAACTAAAAACTTTTCCCTCTTTGAACACAATATATTTATTTTTGTGAAACGTTTATAATATTGTGTATTGCAGTAAACATGCCAGACTAAATAATGAAAATGAATCATTGACTTCTGCGGTCTTCATTTGTTTCAGAAGCACAGATTTCTGTACAATTTAGATCAGCATGTTTGGAGGTTTATCTGCTGGAGATACTGCCGTCCTAAAAAACTTCAAGCAAAACATTAAAGAAATTCTTACTCACACCTTAGGATCGGTACAGCAGAAAATTTTGGCTGTTTTAAAATCTTGATTTCTCCAAACCGTGATATTGACCTTATTCTAAAATGTGGACGTGCGCCTGTTTTCGCGATTGTCTTAGAACTTCCGATTCAGTCGCCTATGGGAGAAATGACTAGGAATAATAAACGGCAGAAAACGGTCAAACTACTTGCTCTACAAACAAATGTTTGCATGACTACACAGACCAAGTAGAATAATATAATAAGGAAATATCAGTTTGCAACATCAAACAGCGAAGCGAGCAGTTTTTAATGTCTAAAAATGAATGGAAGTGAATGAGACCGGAAGTCTCGTGCCAAAAAGATTCATATGGCAGCGCCCGCTCATCTGCGGAGAATAAGGTGAATACCTTGAAAACCGTTATAGCCCAATGCCAACTGCTTAAACAAGCAAAAATAGAGATTTGTTTTGAGTCAAAATGAAGCGAGTTTTTCCCTGAAAACAAGTGAAATAATCTGCCAATGGGGGAAGCAAAATAACATAATGTCAAGAAAAAAAAACAGGGCTACTCTGCTTCTCCCAATGTCAGATTATTTTGGTTGTTTTCAGGAAAAACTCGCTTCATTTTGACTCTATTTCTCAAAACAAGCCTATATTATGTGCTTGTCTAAAAAAAACGCTTTAAAAATGGCCAGGATTACTGTGTATATTTATTACACACTTTCTGTTTAACTCAGAGAAACATTTCTAATCATAATAGTGTTATTAACTCATCTCTAACAACTGATTTATTTTCTCTTTGTCATGATGACAGTAAATAATATTAGACTAGATATTCTTCAAGACACTTCTATACAGCTTAAAGTGACATTTAAAGGCTTCACTAGGGTAATTAGGGTAAACTTAGGGTAATTAGGCAAGTCATTGTATAACAGTGGTTTATTCTGGAGACAATCCAACACTAATATTGCTGAAGGGGCGAATAATATTGACCTTAAAATGGCCTTAAAACAATTAAAAACTGCTTTTATTGTAGCTGAAATAAAACAAATCAGACTTTCTCCAGAAGAACAAATATTAGAGGAAACACTGTGAACATTTCCTGAATCTGTTCAACATCACTTGGGAAATATTTGAAGAAATAAAAAAATACTGCATAGGGGGTGAATAATTTAGCCCTCAGCTGTATGTGCTGATACTCACGCCACGGTTCTCCGGTTCTGGACGCTGGCCTTGTGGTCGCGGAGGAGTTTTCTCTCTGAAGTCACAAGAACATTCACTTTATATTTAAATCAACAAGTGTTTTTATTTATTTATTAGTGCTGACAAATAATACATCTAAAAAAGAAAAGTACACATTATTACACATGCTCCTTTCACTTACTGTCCTGTTTCTCACATTGTCTTGTTTCTACTCATTATTATATTGCATTCTTATTGACATTATATTCGTGGTCATATAAACATTTCATGACATATTGTGTATTGTGTATGAGACAGATAATATCTTAATTAATTCGATTACAATTTTTGATAAACAGCACACACACATTTATTCTTAAATATAACGCTTAATTTTGGATTCAATTGTAAGTTGCTTGAGTGGCCCAGCGGCGTCGCACTGTGGCCTCACAGCAAGAAGGTCTCTGGTTTGAGTCTCGGCTGGGTCAGTTGGTGTTTCTGTGTGGAGTTTGCATGTTCTCCCCGTGTTGGCGTGGGTTTCCTCCGAGTGCTCCGGTTTCCCCCACAGTCCAAACACATGCACTATAGGGGAACTGATCAACTACATTGGCTGTAGTTTATGAGAATGAGTGTGTATGGGTGTTTCCTAGTACTGGGTTGCAGCTGGAAGGGCATCCACTGTGTAAAACATGTGCCGGAATAGTTGGCGGTTCATTCTGCTGTGGCAACATCTGATAAATAAGTGACTAAGCCGAGGGAAAATTAATGAATGAACGCAAGTTGCTTTAGACGCCAGCTCTTAGATGTAAATGATGTGAAATGAAAGGTGATTAATCAGCAGCAGTAATCATATTCCTCCATAACTCATAGTGTGTGTGCGTGTGTACCTGGGGTCCTGCTGGCCGGTGCTGCCTCTGCCGTACAGTGGGATCACTTTATCTCGACTGATGCCTGCTTTACACACCGGACACACCTGTCTATTTGGACGAGTCTCTAACCACTGTAAACACAAACACACACACACACACACACACACACACACACACACACACACACACACACACACACACACACACACACACACACACACACACACACACACACAAACACAAACTATGAAAAAGTGTTATAGTAAACAATGTATTTTGCAACATTGAAATATTACTTTCATTTTGTCATTACGACATAGTCATTGGCCACTTTATTAGGTACACCTGTCCAACTGCACGTTAAGGCAAATTTCTAATCAGCCAATCACACGGCAGCAGCTCGCTGCATTTCGGCATGTAGACATGATCAAGAGGATCTGCTGCAGTTTAAAGCGAGCATCAGAATGGGGAAGAAAGGGGATTTAAGAGACTTTGAACGTGGCATGGTTGTTGCTGACAGACGGGCTGCTCTGAGTATTTCAGAAACTGCTGATCTACTGGGATTTTCACGCACAACCATCTCTAGGGTTTACAGAGAATGCGCCGACAAAGAGGACATATCCAGTGAGCGGCAGTTCTGTGGGCACAAATGCCTTGTTGATAAGGCCAGAGGTCAGAGGAGAATGGCCAGACTGGTTTCAGCTGATAGAAAGGCAACAGTAACTCAAATAAGCACTCGTTACAACCGAGCTCTGCAGAAGAGCATCTCTGAACACACAACACGTCCAACCTTGAGGCGGATGGGCTACAGCAGCAGAAGAGCACACCGGGTGCCGCTCCTGTCAGCTAAGAACAGGAAACTGAGGCTACAATTCACACAGACTCACCAAAACTGGACAATAGAAGATTGGAGAAACGTTGCTGCTCTGATGAGTCTCCATTTCTGCTGACACATTCAGATGCTCGGCTCAGACAACATGAAAGCATGGATCATCCTGCCTTGTATCAGCGGTTCAGGCTGGTGGTGGTGGTGTAATGGTGTGGGGAGATTTTCTTTGGGTCCATTAGTACCAATTGAGCATCAACGCCACAGCCTACCTGAGTATTGCTGCTGACCATGTCCATCCCTTTATGAGCACAGTGTCTCCATCTTCTGATGGCTACTTCCAGCAGGATAACGCAGCATGTCATAAAGCTCAATCATCTCTGACTGGTTTCTTGAACATGACGATGAGTTCACTGTACTCAAATGGCCTCCACAGTCACCAGAGCTCAATCCAATTGCCAACTGTTGAATCTCTGCCACCAAGGATTAAGGCAGTTCTGAAGGCAAAAGGGATCCGACCCAGTACTAGAGGGGTGTACCTATTAAAGTGGCCGGTGAGTTTATATCATTATATTGCACAGCCCTAATGGTAATGATTTTAACACTCTTCTAGAACTCACCTGATGCAAGCATGGCCAGCTGTGATCCCGTTGCAGATGGAAAAAGAAATAAGTGTTAAGAAATGAACATGGTTTCCTTATTACTGTCTGCATTAAACTTCTTTTCCACTGCACACGACATACGACAGATCAGAAGCTTTTTGAAGATTTTCCCAATATTTATCTAGACATATGCAACTGCTGGACAGGATGTGCTGTACTCCAGTGTTGTTCAATGAGGTTCGTGTTTGTGTGTGAGATGAGATTTAGCCATTGGTTAAATTTTATCAGAATTTTTTTTAATCACAAACCAGTAATAAAGGAAAAGAATAAAGGTGTTTGGATTTGCAGTCATTTACTGGACCAACATAGACAAAGGGGGCACCATTATATAGTCAGCTGGTGGTCATGTCTAGTACTGCGGATAAACAAAAATCTACACCTAAATAAGATATCAACTTCAAACTAAGAATATACTTAGTTCAGATATTTAGCTTTGATTTTCTGTTTATTTTGCACTAAAACACATTGAAGACTTGGCAATCCTTAAAGTTGAACATGGCATTTTCATGTCTGTCATAATGGGCTCTAAGCACTAAGAGCGTGTCTGGATCCACTTCTGCTATTTTAAGGACGGATAAATCCGCTCTGCGCATGGTCTAACCGGGTTGTGCTTATTCTCTTAATGAGTTCTGAGTGTGTTTTTGGATTAAACCTGCATTAAACCAATCAGAGTCTCATTTCTCATTCCCTTTTAGAGTCAGTTTTGTCGCTCCATGGCGGATTCGCTATTTACATGGCGACTTTGTAAGTGTAAAAGCTGAACGCTTCACTAGCGAGAACACAGTTAAACAGAGCATCTGCAGCACGAGGATAAAGAACGAGCCTCCTCCATTCAGCCTCTTTACTTTCTCTTTACTTAATTCCTTTACTCCTTTACTTTGGTGGAGTGAGGAAACGGTGGAAACTCACTCCACTGAACACATCCATCAGCCCACAGATTTAATTTCCTTTGTTAGGCGCAAAGATTTGCTTCAAAACTATTTCTAAACTCAGTTCTAATCTCCAGCAAAGGAATAAATGAACAATAATAATGACGTGTGGTCAGAAAACTGAGTTATATCCAAACACACGTCCTGTTCTTATCCACATATGCTGATGCAGACGTCTCCAAAACCCCACAGCTGGACACATCTACACTTGTGTTTAATAAAGCAAGTATAAATCTGCAGATAATCAATAATACTGATCATAATAATCACATTATACAGATGCAGATGGTCATCAATAAACTGAAAAAGCCCCCGGGGTGAAGAAGGCATGGAGGCAGTGGTGAAAATCATCATTTCTGGATCATTTTAATCCTTTAATTGTTTTCATCTGTAGAGATATTTGTGTGTTGCTGATCATCCTGTGTGTGTTCAGCATTTAGACCTGCATATGTGCATAACTAACACACTCTGCTGGACTCTAGAGCAGCTCTTAGTTGGTCAATGGTGCTGTTGGTCTATTTTAGCTCCTCAGAATAGCAACGCTCCAACAATGCGCCTTAACACACCTCCTCTATAGACCAGCACACACACACACACACACACACACACACACACACACACACACACACACACACACACACACACACACACACACACACACACACACACACACACACACAGAGTCCACACAGAGTCCACACAGAGTCCACACAGAGTCCACACAGAGTCCACACAGAGTCCACACAGAGTCCACACAGAGTGGATGGATTTTCTATTTAAACAATGGCGCAAAGCGTGGAAATTAGGCTTGCGCTGGTCTAAAAATTCCCACAGTCATGTCTGAATGTCGTGTGCAGTGCAAACAAGAGCTGTTTATTGTTGTGAGGGCCTCACCAGAAGAGGTGTCCGCACAGACTGATGACAGCATCTTTAGATGTGTCCAGACAGATGTTACACTCAAACGTGCTGTCCTGAGCTCCTCCACCTCCACTTTCTCCCGCTGATTGACCATTGGCAGCTCCTGCTGATGATGATGAAGATGATGAAGAACTCTCACTGGCTGCTGCACTGGCCATTCTCCACTAAACACAACCCTAAACATCAACACAGAAACACACATGCATGAGATGTGCTTATACTAAAGGGTAAACAAAAGGCGAAGTGAGACGCGCAGCTGAACACTATTGGTTTACAGAGATGCGTCACTAGCACAAAGGAAGCTCTAGTTTTAAAAACACAGCCGGCATTACACTGTAATACAATATAAACATAATAACAAGCCATGGTCGACCCGACATTAGACAAACCTTGTCATCGCCTTGATGAACAGCCACAAGGCCAAGAAGAGCAGAATCTGCCGTGTCCTGTTGTTGTTTAGGAGACTGTCTTAAGTGTGAGCTGTTTCACTTTCTCCAGAGAGCTTGCCACACGTCTATTTGAAATAATGAACGTGTTGAGCTGATGATAATAACGTGTGCGTGATCATTGAGTGGTACTAACATCCGATCCTTTCAGAAACAGACAAACGCGAGTGTGAGGCGCGAAAAAACTAAGGAGTAAATGAGTGATGATCTAACAGGGGTTACATGTGCGGGTGAAGATCACACACACAGATGAGAGGTTTGCACTGACTGTAGGCTGTCTGCTGTGTGTTGTTTTTGAACCCAAATAAGGACTAAATGTCTGCCGTGTGTAGTTTTTCTGTAATGGGTAACATATCGGAGACTGTAAGGGGCTGTACGTGTTCATATACAGTTCAAGTCAGAATTATTCGCTCCCCTGTTTATTTTCCCCCCAATTTCTGTGTAACAGAGAGCAGATTTCTCCAACACATTTCTAATCAGAATAGTGTTAATAACTCATCTCTAATAACTGGTTTATTTTCTCTTTAACATGATGACAGTAAATAATATCAGATTAGATATTCTTCAAGACACTAGTATTCAGCTTAAAGTGACATTTAAAGGCTTCACTAGGGTAATTAGGGTAAAGTTAGGGTAATTAGGCAATTTATTGTATAATGATGGTTTGTTCTGGAGGCTATTGAGAAAAAAATTGCTAACTGGGGGCTAATAATATTGACCTAAAAATTACTTTTAAAAAAATTACAATCTGCTTTTATTAAACCCGAAATAAAACAAATAAGACTTTCTCCAGAAGAAAAAATATTATCAGACATACTGTGAACATTTCCTCAATCTGTTCAACATCATTTAGGACATATTTAAAAAAAAAGATAAACAAATTTAAAAGGGGGGCGAATAATTCTGACTTCAACTGTACTTCTGGATTACATTTACATTACTTTTAAACTGTTATCAGTTACTGTTTACAAAAAAACACGACTAAATTTGTTGTCAGTAGTGTAAACTTTTAGACTAAGCATTGGTCATAGATATATACACTAGATATCGCATAGGGACCCTGAGCATGCGTCAATAGCGCCGCCATATTGGTACAGTGCTCCCAGGACAAATGTTATTCAACCGCACTAGTCAAGACAGTGTTATTACGTGAAGATGCGGGACTTTAGCGCTGTCTACGGGTGTAGTAACGAGCAAACAAAGAAAACAAAGCACAAAGGCAGAACATTTCATAGGTAATATTAAGTTTTTTTCTGTTTTTGTATGTTCTGAACTTTTGTGCTAATCAGGTAACGTTATTGATGATAACAGTCACTTACTGCATTCACCATACGACAAAGCAGCTCCAACTCGCACTAAACACTCGGCTTATGCTAGTTTTGTTGAATAAAATCAGCAAACAATGCAAAAGAAATATGACAACGAGATGCTGCGCTGCCAGAAACTTGTGTTATTGTCGGCTAACGTTAGTGAAAGAGTCGTTCGGTGGATTCATTCACAAACGAATCGCTCCCTCCGTCAGTATGAGCAGTGAAAGCAGGAGAGGAGCTGTGCTTCAGGACATGATTAGATCAAATTTAGCAGGGAGGGTGGATAGTACATTTCTGTACACACAAACACAAGCTTTTTGTCAGGAATGGCCGTGCGGTCACTGATCCATCAATGTAGAAAAGTGATGTAAAATTATAATTTTCATAATTAGAAAAAAACATTACATACTAACATCCAGGGAAACACAGATATATGTGTATATCTCTGGCTTTGCATGGCCACAGTCCTCCACTGTACCTTAGTCCCGCATTCATTTCAAAGGAGCGCTACCCTGTAGCAAGATGGCGGCGCTATTGACGCATTCCGTCCAATAGACAACAGTAGGCCAGGCGACATCTAATGTATATATCTATGAGCATTGGTAATGTAATCTGACTACTCCTATATAACTTTAGTGTTAACCAGGGTTTTACATTAACACCCACCAACCCGCCAAATGCGGGTAGATTTCAGCAGTGGCGTAAGACAGACACTCCCACTAGCCACTTTGGCTGGTTGAAAATAATTTTCCCAGATAATAATTCTTTAAGGCAGGGTTCGACAATAAGGATGGTCCAAAATGCATGCACAAGCGATCGAGAAGCAACACAACTGACGAAAAATAATTGCGTTCGCAACTTCGCACGAGCAAAGCAGGTGAATACCGAATGAGAGGATAATCAGCTGAGGTGATGCGCGCGGTTTCTTTTGTGAAGCAACTGTGTCTAGAAACACAACTGATGCGATCGTTTCTCTTTCAAATAGACTGAACAAAAAGGAAGGAACGTGCACCTACAGTCTACAGTCTTGCTGCTTTCCAGAGCTCCAGAGTTGACTTATTGTAAGCAGCGCCAGTTGCTTTCGCTTTAACCATTCTTTGAAAAGATAATTTATGGGTCAGTCATTAACCATGCGTGTGTGATCATCCTTTCATTTTCTCATTTTTTTACAATAACATTGCTTTAATGGGAGAATAACTCCCCATTTATGTGTAGTTAACTGGTGATCTGGGACCTTTAGCCAGGACATATGACTGTACATGTGTTCTGTTAAATAAAAAGTATAATATTCAGCTATATTTCGCTTATTTTGACGCACTTAAAGTTTTGGCTAAGAAATAATGAACTGTTTATGTATGGTGTGGTCAGAGATAAATTGGGTAAATCCTTCATTTTGGGCTCTGAACATTATGAAAACTAATTGTAATATATGAAATTCTGACCCATCTGCTCAGGATTATTGAGCAAACTCATACACGACACACAAAAAGTGAAATGAATGAGGCATGTAGAGATAACGCAAACTCTAAACAAGTCATTTTAGCATATCAAAGTCATATTTATGTGTATAAAATATATTTTCCCAACAATAAAACTGTGGCTAGTGAAACTGGCGACTGGCTAGTAACGTTGGAAATGTACTAGCCACAGTGGCTAGTGGTCAAAAAAGTTCATTTTAAGCCCTGGTGTTAACCCTTGTTTGATGTCACATAAATTGAACCCGGATAATCTTGTGCTATTTTGACCGCATGTTCATTTATTTATTTATTTTATACAATTGCAGACGTTACAGTAGGCTATTGCACACTATCACTGATCTGCAGTTACAATCAACTCATGTTGATGAAAGGTTAGTATTGAACATTTATACAGTATTTGTGTATATCTATAGCTGTGGAAATGCAAGCCTGATTTAAAGGTGACCGCCCCGTACCATAACATACTCTACCAGTCAGTGTAAACAGGCCATTTTAGGTACCTTTTGACGTGAAACAGGCCATTAAACTATAATACACATACATAATTCACATTCTGGAAATCATGCAAAGGATGAATTTGTCAGTAAGTGTAACAATTGTTCTTATGTACATAACTATAGCCATGTAGAATTCAAAATTATCTTTAAAACATATTTTAAAATGTTAGTTTGGCCCGAAATACTCTTTAATTGTCATCTGACATTTATTCAAACCATTAGACTTCACACATTTAAAAACAACAAGATTTTCATAATTTTAAACTCAATTTCATGATAGAGGTAAAGCTGGTTTTATATTTGGATATTCAGACATTCTCCTTAATTACATAATTTCAGTAAAGTATTAAAGTAATAAAGTATTCTTAATCTAAACAGCGAAATCATATGATCAGCAAACGACTATCCAAGTACAACATTGGTTACAGTCAGTTATGGTGCTAATGTTGTATTTGAAGTCATGCTTACATGCTAATTCAGACTGAATATTCAAAGTAGTGTGGTAAACAATATAGAGACTGCTAAATGAACCAACAGGCGAATATTAAACCAATTTATTTCACCTTTATAATTTAATTCAGTACGATCAACGTATTCTCTGACATATTTACGTAAAGATAAATATTGTCTTGTTTCATACAGACAATAAGACAAGGCCATTTATTGATTTCTACAGCAGATCTCATACTCAATGGTAACTCTGCGTGTTTTACATACACTGGAATAAAAGAGACATAAAATACAAGTAAAATAAAAACAAACGCTATTCCACCTCTATTTTGACATTTTATATGAAATAAAGTGATTTTAAATTGCACAAATCCTTAATTCCGAGTATTTATAAAGACTTTTGTGTGATAAATGGTGTTATTCATAACAGCACGCAGCTCTCTTCGCGTCGGAATCTGCTGTTTATCGGTTAATCTAGATTGTTTTAAGCATAAATAACCAACTGTGGGTTAAATAAACACGCTAGCTCGTCTGTAACCGTGTATAATAGTGATAAACGCTTACCTGCGCGTCTGAGGAGAAACACGAGCCGCTGCTCTTCAACTTCAGCTGATGCGTCAACAAACAGCCATCGCTCCAAACCGGAAGCGCTGCCTGCTGACGTCACAGGCGCTCGACCAATAAGCACGCGCTTTCAGAAGTGAGGCGTGCTGAAGACTAGCTGGGATCAAAATATAAATATGCGTATTATTAATTAAAACTATTATAAATCAATGATAACTCGCTTGATATTAATTGTGAGCACTTTTAAGTTTTAAATTGATTATTGTTGTCACGTGAAAACTGTTACCTTTCTCAGCGCTGCTCTGGATTGACCAATCATCGTCGCTTTGGTTGTGTTGTTATTTAAATTTCAGCTAGGTGATTATTGAGAAATCAATGATGACGTACTTTAGTGTTGATTATGTCAATATTAAATCACTGTAATACTTGAATGCGTGTCTGTGAAAGGCAGACAGTGATCTGCGAGTCTAATACCGCCGCCTGCTGGACTAAACATCATTAGT